GCTGATTATGATAGATCACTTCAAGAAGAGGCACTGCAAGAAGCTCGAAACTCTGTGTGTGTGAAATTGCTCTTCTAATGTTGCAAAAGCCAATCAAAGAGTTGCTCCATGTGGCATATTATTATACTACTAAGTGGCTGGAAACTCAAGTTGGAATACTTCTATGCATACAGGACGTATTCAGTGAGAGAGGGCACCAGAACTTATGGTACGTTCATTTCTGGGCCAATGTCTAGTAGTATGTTCACTTCGTTCACAATTTTAAGGTAGTACTTTGAATTGGTAAAATGTTTTAAGTGAGAACCGAAATATAATGCTTGATGCATCTTTTATTTTTATCCTCAAAACTAATTTCCAAAATTCTTAATTCACATCAGTAAGAACATGTTTGAAAAGTGAAAAATAATTTTAGAAAAGAGAGCATTAATCGTAGGCGTTATTTTTGGACACAGAAAAGAAGCAGTTATATTCAATTACAAGGAAGAGAAGTTTTAGGCTAAGGTTACAGAAGCACACTTTCAAATCAGTGCAATAAATTACAGACTGTTTTGTCCTTGTGCAGTTTGAAATCCTATGGTTGAAATTTAAATGGACATACTTTAATTTGATGTGCATAGCAAGTCCTTGTGGCGGTTTGAAATCCAATGGTTGAAATGTAAATGGACATCCTTTATAACTCAACGAGCATAGCAAGTCTGTGGTTGACGAGAAGACGGAAGACAGTGATAATGAAACCAAACTCAATACAAATTTCTTTATCCAAAATTTCCAAATCCTAAATGCCCACTACTTGCTAGCAAAACTAGTACAATTTCATTATAGTAGCTCCTAATATTCAAAACAAGTTTCTTCAAAAAAAATTTCCATAAAACAAGACCCAAAGTGACCTCGGGACATCCTAAACTACTCATAATCAGCAATTTCAATTCAACTTTCTACGATATATACTAATTATAATTGGAACTTCATTACAAAGACCTGAATCATTCAAACTTTAACATACCAAGTCCATATCATACACGATCATCTTAAACTGCTTCCTTTATTCCATATACAACAAAGTTCAATTCAGCAACAGATCTCTAACTGGTATCACTATCACCAATTTTGTAACTTCACCGGCCACAATTTATCCCGCAATGAAAATCCAATTAATATTAAACAAAACACTTATAACCACATTAAAAATAATTGGGATCAATAAAAGAAAGATCAAGGAATAGAGTGGGGTACTGAGTAAGTCTGTATGTGGGAGGGTAAGTTCATTAGCAATCATTGTACCTCCATGAGAGTAAGTAAGAGCCGTCTGGCCGCATCCCTCACAGGCTGTTTTGCATCGCCCAATCTCTCGACAACAGCGGGGACCAACGCATTGAAATGGAGCTTCAAGTGTTCCCCGGACAACACAGCGGCCGAAGCTAGTGCCTGCAACGCGCCCTGCGACACCCGAAAGTTGTTATCTCTCAAGAGATCCAGGCACACATCGACGAGGGACGTCACCTCCGATGACGACAGACTCTTTCGAGAAGCTTCGAGAAGTTGGTAGAGTCTCTCTACGCCCGCCATTCTCTCCTTAGTGTCCTTGGCACGCGCCAACTCTAAGGCCTCCTCCATTGGGACAGCGACGGCGGTTCGAAACAACCGATCCGGCGGCGGTGGCTGTCAGATCTGTGAGAGTGGGCAATGCGCGCGCGCGGGGGCGAGAGAGAGAAAGAGAGAGGGGACGCCGTGGGGGCGAGGGGTTGCTAGATCGACGGAAGAGAGATCAATTAATTTTGTACAGTCTCTGAGGTGCAGTTGCAAAAAAAGAGATAATTTAATAAACGGTCACTCAATTTTATTATAGACTCATCGATTTTTTAAAAAGTTACACGTTACTCATTTAATTTTGCAATAACTTATTACTTACTTATCGAAATTTAAAAAATTACTTATTGCTCACCTATATGTGAATAAATTTACTCGTTGTTCACTAAACATTGCAATAAGTAACATTCATAGAAATGACATGGACGATTGATGGGTAATTTTGTACAAATTTTCCGAGTAATAAGTAACTTTTTAAATTTCGATGAACAAGTAGTTACCCATTGTAAAGTTCAATGAGCAAATAGTAACATTTTATAATTCGGTGAGCAAATAGTAAATTATAGTGATGTTTAGTGACTATTGATTATATTAACTCTTGCAAAAAATGTTTTTACTGCGAATTACTTTTTCTTTTCCTATTTATTTATTTATTTTTATTTTTATTATTATTTTGAAGGTTAAGCAGTGTAATAACGTATTTAAGAAAGGAGTTATTGGTAATATATTTTTATTGACAATTAAATTTGAAAATTATTGTAGAAACTAATTTTTTATCGCACTAAATATTGAAAATGTTGGATTAGTTAA